GTGTCCGTCTTCGGGCCAGCCACCGAGTCCGTCCGGCGCCTGCTGCGGCTGGACGAGACCTCTGGCTGGCTCAGCGTCTTGCACCGCATCGATCGTGAGGAGGTGAACCAGCTTCGCTTCACCGTCATGGCCCGAGATCGGGGCCAGCCCCCCAAGACAGACAAGGCCACGGTCGTGCTGAACATCCGCGACGAGAATGACAACGTGCCCATCATCGACATCCGCAAAATTGGGCGCATCCCACTGAGGGATGGGGTGGCTAGTGTGGCCGAGGACGTGCTGGTGGATACCCCCATCGCCCTGGTGCAGGTCTCGGACCGGGACCAAGGCGAAAACGGTGTGGTGACTTGCACAGTGGTGGGCGACGTGCCCTTCCAGCTCAAGCCGGCCAGCGAGGGTGAAGGGGAGTCGCAGAACAAGCGCAAGTATTTCCTCCACACCTCGGCCCCTCTGGACTACGAGGCTGTCCGTGACTACAACGTGGTGATCGTGGCTGTGGACTCGGGCAGCCCCAGCTTGTCCAGCAACAACTCCTTGCTGGTGCGGGTCGGGGACACCAACGACAACCCCCCAGTGTTCAGCCAGACTGTGCTGGAGGTCTCCTTCCCAGAGAACAACTTGCCCGGCGAGAGGGTGGCCACAGTGGTCGCCACGGATGCGGACGAGTGCCGAGATCACCTACTCCCTGGAGGCCTCACCCCTCTCTTTGGAGGCATCAGGCGGCATCTTCAGCATTGACCCCGACTCCGGCGACGTGTCGGTTCAGGCCGTGCTAGACCGAGAGCAGCAGGACACCTACGAGTTCCAGGTGATGGCCCGGGACAAGGGGGTGCCATCACTGCAGGGCTCCACCACGGTGGTGGTGCGGGTGGTGGATCGCAATGACAACGAGCCGCGCTTCATGCAGGACGTGTTCACTTTCTATGTGAAGGAGAACCTGCAGCCCAACAGCCCTGTGGGCATGGTGACCGTGATGGACTTTGACAAGGGCCGCAACGCCGAGCTCAGCCTTTCCATCCAGCCCGGTGACCACGACCAGGCAGCTGGCACCTTCTCCATCGAAAATGACACCGGAACCATTTTCTCCACCGTCTCTTTTGACCGGGAACAGCAAACCAGCTACACTTTTAAAGTGAAAGCGGTGGACGGTGGTGAGCCACCGCGCTCTGCCACTGCCACCGTGTCCCTCTTTGTGATGGACGAGAATGACAATGCGCCCACGGTCACTTTCCCCAGCAACAGCTCCTACACCGTGCTGCCGCCCTCCAGCAACATGCGCACCGTGGTGGCCACTGTGGTCGCCAGTGACGCCGACACCGGCCTCAACGCCGACCTTAACTACAGCATCATTGGGGGCAATCCCTTCAAACTCTTCGAGATCGACCCGGCCAGCGGCGTGGTGTCTCTGGTGGGCAAGCTGGCCCCCAAGCACTACGGCCTACACCGGCTCGTGGTGCAGGTGAACGACAGCGGACAGCCGCCCCAGTCCACCACCGCCTTGCTCCATGTCTTCGTCAATGAGAGCCTGTCCAATGCCACCATGGTGGAGAGTCAGGTGGCCCGCAGCCTCCACACGCCCCTGGCCCAGGACATCGCTGGAGACCCCAGCTACGAGCTGAGTAAGCAGCGGCTCAGCATAGTCATCGGCGTGGTAGCTGGCATCATGACCGTCATCCTCCTCATCCTGGTGGTGGTCATGGCCCGCTACTGCAGCTCCAAGGGCAAGCACGGCTACGAGGCTGGCAAGAAGGACCATGAGGATTTCTTCACCCCGCAGCAGCACGACAAGGCCAAGAAGCCCAAGAAGGACAAGAAAGGCAAGAAGGGCAAGCAGCCCCTCTACAGCAGCATTGTCACTGTCGAGGCTTCCAAGCCCAACGGGCAGCGCTATGACAGCGTCAACGAGAAGCTCTCGGACAGCCCTGGCATGGGGCGATACCGCTCGGTCAACGGCGGCCCAGGCAGCCCTGACCTGGCCAGGCACTACAAATCCAGCTCGCCGCTGCCCACCGTCCAGCTGCACCCGCAGTCCCCCAC